ATTAAGGACATGAAATAAATTGCCTCAGGGCACAAGTGCTGTCACGTTCCAAAGGTGATTGACAGACCAGGAAAGTCCCAGGTAGATATCCCTAACACGTAATGAACTCATAAACATCGAGGAAAATAAAGGCCAAAAACCTGCCAGAGAAACAAGTAAGACAAGAAGACAAGTGGCACGTGCTTGTGATCTCAGCCACTCAAGAGGCTGAGGCAGGAAGATTCCACGTTTGAGGCTATCCTAGGCAACTTAGTGAGACCATCTAAAAATAACAATAAAAGTAAAAAATAAAATTCAGGGCTGGTAATGTAGCTTATTGAGTGCTAGGGTGTTCGATCTCCATTATTGCCTGAAAAAAGAAAAAAAAAACTACAACAGGAACAGGACAGTTTATAAAAAAAGATACAAACTAGCCTCCCTGTGCGGTTCTCCACAGAGCTTCTGGCTCTGACATCCTGTGAGGGAGATTCGGGCAGACGCAGTGGATTCTGCTGTCTGCAATCTGTGCAGTGAACATGGCCCTTTCCAGATAGTGACCCACTAGGAGCCCGAAGACTCCACAGCCTACAGGACACACAAACAGTACTCACGCCAGATCCTTGAGATGGTTTCAGGAGGCCCTGCGATCACCGTTTTATTGCCATAGGCAGCAGCTTCCGGGAGACTCTTGTAGCTGGGAGGCGGGGCTCGGCTGGGCTCCACTGCTGTTTGTTTAAAGTGAAACCTTCATGTGTTTTTACCCCTGCACCCCAACCACACGACCTCCTCTGGAACCCCCTCCCACACGCACGTCTGAGTGTGCCTCAGGGGCGCACACTTCCAACACCACTCTGATGGCCGTGGGCAGACTCGCTCCAAGGGGCCTGGGAAGCTGTCCAGCTCCTCCATTTTCCAAGCTCAGAAACGCCATATGTCTTGAACCCCAGCAAGGTCCGCAGGGTTTCAATGGGGCCCAGGACGGTCCTTGGGCGGCAGCGACAACCTGTGCGCCTGACATGGGGGACTCTGGAGTAGGTCCTGGCCCACGTGAGCTGCCCTTGCAAAGCACGAGTTAGGAGGACGTCAATACAGAATGACACGCATGGCACATTAGTGAGAAATCAGTGACAGCTGGAAGTGGTGGTGCACGTCTGGAATCCCAGCACTCTAGGAGGCTGAGGTAGGAGGATCGCTATGAATAAGCTCGAGGCCAGCTTGGACTACATAGTGAGTTCCTGTCTCAAAAAATTCTCTTTACAAGTAGCAAACATTACTTCATAAACAGTCAAAACTGCACACTAACTTATATATGCATGCTTATTTAATATCCAATTTATTTACTTGAAAATACTCCAGAAAGAAAGTGTGTGTGTGTGTGTGTGTGTGTGTGTGTGTGTGTGTGCGCACGCACCAGGGTAGACAGCAAGAGATGAAACAGAAATGGCAAAATGTGTTCTTGCTGGGCACAGTGTCACATGACTGTACTAGGAGGCAGAGGCAGGGGGACCAGATGAGCACAGAAGTTCGAGGCCAGCCTGGACCTTGCAGCGAGACACCATCTCTAGATACCAGCCCAAGCGGAGTAAGGATTCACTGGACAGATGAAAAATCAGGACCACGGGTGCCTGGTCCACAGGGACCTGGCTCCTTCCCTGGGCCAGGCACAGGCCTCTCTACTTGGGAAAAAGTGCCCAGGGGTGTCCACCAGGGAGACACTGTATCCAATGGCTGACACCCCAGGGGCAGGTCTGGGAGGCAAGACTTCATCACTGTGGAAGCCAGGGCTGGGCATCACTCGCGACCTTGCCTGGTCTTCGTCAGCAGCTGTAGCCAGGAAAAGCTGCCACCAAGGGACACCTCCGGAGCCTACAGCGTGCAGGGATATCCAGTAAATGACAGGTCACGCATGTGATGTCATCCTGGGAGGGGCAGGGCCTGGGCAATGGAATGAGGTCAAACTCCAGTTCCAACGGGGCAGCGGGGTCACACGGGCTGCCGGGACAGGCAGGCGGCCTGTCTGGGGGTCCGGGGTCCACCTGGCTTACGGTCCCCACACTGCAGGTGCTGGGGTCCTGGCCTCTCCTCTGTCACAGGGAGGGAAGCTCTCGGGCAAGGGAAGGAGGGATCCTACCCAGGGACCCCCATGCCTGAGTTCGTACCCTCTTTTTAAGTGCTCAGGGGCCTCCACACCCCTCCTCCTGGGCCCGGTTCTGAATGAGAAGGAAAAGCAAGGGGTGCTGGCCACCACCTCCTGCAGTCTCCAATTCATACAAGAGGCTAACCCGGGCCTGCGCTCACACCCTCGCTGTAGATCACCTGTTTGGGGAATTTGTGGTAAATGCTAGGTTTCTATCACTCTTTCAAAACCAAAGTATGCTCCATGCAGCTCCACAGAAGGGACACCCCCTTCCCTGTAGCACGCCGTCTGCACACCGCCTGCCCTGTCTTTCTGCAGCTTACACAGAAGCAGCCCTCCCTTCTGACCTCGCCCCTCTGCCAGCCTCTTCTCAGGGGCGGGGAGGTGGTCCGCTCGCTGGCTGTGTGCTCACCTGCATCTGGACCAGTAGCAAGGAGAGGGGAGGGTTTCTGGGTTCAGAGCCTCAGGCCAGACCTAGAGGACGCTGGGGTGGCTGGACAACGGACAGAGCTGGGGATGTGGGGGTCTGGCCCTGTAGGGCAGGGGTTTACTGTCTGTTGAGAACAGAGTCAACCAAAGCAGTGCTCCGGGTGGGAGAAGTAACACTGTGCTGGTTTCCTGTGATCGCCCTGCTGGGTGACTGTAAAGGGCAGGGGGCTGAAAACGTGACAGCGCGTCCTCTCCTGGTCCTGCAGGCCACACCAAGCTGTGGGCAGGCCAGGCTCCCTCAGGGAGGATCCCTCCTGCCTCTCCAGCTCTGCGTGGCTCCAGTTTCTGCCTCTGAATTCACATGACCTTCTCCCCAAATCTCCGTGGGTTCTTCTGTCGTGCGTGTGTGGACAGCCTCACTGACTGTGGGGCCTGCCCTCACCCAGTATGAGCTCATCCTGCTTCCCACTTTAAATGAACCTGCAAAGATCTACTTCGCAAAAGACCGTCTTCAGAGGCTCAGGTGCACATGAAATCTGGGGGACACTGTTCATTCTGGGGTGACATTCAGTACCATAGCAAGTTGTAGCAGAAAGGTGGTGAGGACCTGGGGGCCCATCCCTGGCTCCTGCAGAGCGGGGCTCCTCTATCCCAGGACTGAGGGTTAGGGTTAGCATCTCTGACCCCTCCCTGCCAGCTGGCCAGCTGGGCTTCTGGCTCCCTTCCACTGAGGCTCAGAGCCGTGGATGGAGTGAATGGCCCAGGTCGCACAGCTGGTGGGAGGGGCCTGGAATCCAGGTGAGGGCGCACCGCAGGGCCTCAGGGCCGGTAGGTTCCAAGATCCTGCCACTCCTGGAGTTGCCTCTGTCAACAGGAAGCTTAGGGGTCCCTAACTGTCTGGCCGCCTGGGAGCTCAGATTTTGAGGGATTGCCGATTCGTTTCTGGGAGTCACAGGAGATAAGGAGGCCCCAGAGGACGAGGATTAGCTCCGGGAGCAGGGGTCGGCAGGGATGCTATGCTGCGCGGGGTCCTGACCCCTCCTGGGCTCCTGCTGATCCCAGCACACCGAGAGCCCTGGGGCCTAGAGAAACGTGCCCAGGGCGTGGGCAGCGGTGGCCAGAACTCTGCTGCCAGAGCACCCAGGACAGTATCCTGGAGGGCCCATTGCTCCTGACCATCCCAGAGCCCGGCTTGACCCCTGGACACCAAGGGACGCCTTCTAGGAACGAGGGGAGCCAAGCCTCCTGCCCCTCTGAGCGGAGGGTGGGCTCCACTACCCCCCGCAGCGGGAGCAAACGCCAGGCCCTCTGTGAGTTCACCGCCTTCTCGAAGCCAGCGCTCATTGTTACCTCAGTTTCCCCGGGAGGACCCTGGGGTTACGAGAGGCCAAGTGACTGGCCCAAGGTCACACAGCCCAGTGGGGACAGAGCGAAGGTGGGAACCGCAGGCTCCCAAGCCTCACTCCAGCCGCTCTTCCAAGCCCGCCGCCGCCCCTCCGGCACCGCGCTGGGAGGTGAAGCAGCGAGGCCGAGAGCCTAGCTTCGCCGTGAAGCGAAGGCTCCTCGAACATCTGCAGGAACAAAAGCAACCAGAAATCCGCCCCGGGTTTTCCGCCTAGCCAATCTTCGCCGACCAATCCCGAAGCGCCGGGCTCGGGGGGGGCGGGGAG